ACCGTGAATGTGGGGAGCATGCTAAGAAGCAGAGACAGAACACTGAAGCACTATTTAGAACAAAAGACAAAGGAGAGTGGAGCTCCCACTGTGGAGAGACATTTCTGTAAGAGCTCCAGGTTCTGTGAGGCAGTGTGGTGGCTTCCTGTCTGATTAAGTCTAGAAGCTTCCAGAAGGAAGCAGTTTGAATAATGATGAAAGACCGCATCTCCCCCAGACCCGTTCTGGGCCCTGCTTCTGCCCTGTGGAGGGCAGGCAGGTCCTGTGTGAGAACAGTAAAGTATAGAGTTAAAAATTTATTTTCTTTCTTGGGCCACACGAGCTGGACTGACACCTAGAGTTCCTGGTGAGCACTCCAAACCCAACTGCAAAGTGCGTACAAACTGCTCAGTATTTCTATGGTTCCTCTCAGTGCATCTCCCGGATTGTAATTACACTATTGAGGGAGGACTCCATCTGGGTAATATCTGGGTTATGTTCAGCATAGTGTACCATGAAAAAGAAAGTGCCTTAAAAGCTTTTGGGTGGTGAGAATGACTTCAATGTCAACAATGAACCTGTCCCAAAAAAACATTGAGTGTGTAACCATTGGCCTGTCTTGCCCTTTCTGTATATTCCTAGAAAGAATCGAGCCCTGTTGCCTTGGCAACTCTCTTTAGAGACCGGATAAATGGAGTATGTACCCAGCTTGGGGAGGGGGGAAGACTAAACAAATATTCAGGCTTCCCCCATCCATATGGCTTTGGGGGCTTTAGACTCCTCTCCTTCTTAGGAAACATTGCCTTCTCATGCCCGCCTACCTGAACGTAGCTCCCTTCGTAATCGAAGAAAAGAAGTGGCCATGTGATGCTGATGAGCGAGGGAAAGAGTTTCTTTAGAGGGTCCTGAGAAGAAAGATGAACAGAGCAGTTTGTTCCAGAAGGCCTGGCTGTACTACGCCTAGGTCTTCTCCCCAGTGCTGGACACTCACTGGCAAGGACTGCCCCACAGTGCTGTGCACCAGGGCCTGGATGTTCCGGCTCTTCTCCCTCACCCTTTCAACCAGGGCCTGTACTTCTGTGAGATTATCTGGATGGGATAGGAGACATTGAAGTTAAAAGGCTGGGCTATGAAATGATTCTTCCTGCCATTCCAGGGTCCTGATAGAACACTCATTTGGTCCCTCAGTGCTGGATAGTTTTATGTCAACTTGACACAAGCCATAATCATTTGGCAAAAGGGAACTTCTAGTGAGAAAATGCCCCCACAAGACTGGCCTGTAGGCAAGCCTGTAGTGCATTTTCTTGATTGATTGATGGGCCCAGTTCACAGTGGGCGGTGCCACCCCTGGGCTGGTGGTCCTGAGTGCCATAAGAAAGCAGACTGGCAAGCCCTGGGGAATAACAGTTAAGTTGCACTTGCCCATGGCTTCTGCTTCGATTCCTGCCCTAACTTCCCTCCGTTATAGACTTATACACTGTAAGATGAAATAAACCCTTCCTTCCCCAAGTTGCTTCTGGTCATAGTATCTTATCGTGACAATAGGATTCCCTAAGACACCCTCCCTCTGACAAGGCACCCTGAGACTCAGAAAAATGGCAGCTCTTCTAAACCATCCCACCATTCCCATCCTCCTGCTCACCATCCAGGGTAAAAATGGAGACCATGGTGTCAATTTCCTTGAGGGATGGCAGGATGGAAGTCAGGAAGTCATCCTGGGAGAAGGGGGATCCTGGGACAGAAAAAGACAAGAGAGTTCCTTCCATCAGGACACTCAAGAGTAGAGACTTGAAGACTGAAGGGGACCTTAGGGGACATCTAATACAGCCCTTTTGGTTTCAGTTGAAAAGAGTCAGGATTCTAAATGGTAGCATTTTGCCAAAGGTGATGTAGCAGGTGAGTGGACTAAAGCCAGGAAAACCCAGAGCCTTCCATCCTCCACTGCTTCAGATCTCCATGTCCTCTGACCAGCCCCTTCTTGGGACTGATGATCCCCTCATGTTCCCCCACCACCAGGCCCCACTCCCCCACTGCCATCTGCACACTCGTGAATTTTACAACTTCCCGTGTCCTATCCTCTTCCAACCTGGTTGGTGAGCTCATCCTTCTGGTTAAACATGTCACTGTGGTCACCGATAAGAAAGCCACGGATATCTTGGAAATCTGGGAAATTTAAGATCAGAGAGAAAAGAATGGTGGACTTTAGAAGAAAGGAAGGCTCTAGACTTTAAGGCTGTGGCGATGTCAGAACGTGGGATATGGGGTGTGATACTCTATGAGAGAGACTATTATAAGCACTGGAATGGGAACCGAGAGATCAAGGACCCACGTGGAATTTGATGCTTCAAATGAAAGAAATGTTTGATGGAAGTGCCTACTTATGTAGGAAAGAAGGACACTGGGGAACTCAGAGGCCTGAGGAAAATGTTTTAATAGTGACCCGAGTGGCTGGGGTACTTGGCATCAGGAGGACATCAGGACTCAGGGCTCACCAGCACCAAACGTGTGGATGCACTCTACTCCGTCCATAATGGTGATGATACCGAGGGTCTGCCAGCAAACCAAGTGCACACGGCCTTTCTTCTCCAGGCTGAGAATGAGCCAGAAGCCTGGCCATGATCACCATGAAAAGAGGTGGCCGAGGAACACAGGAGTAAACAACCAAGACCTTCCAACATGTGGCCCATCTCAGTCCTGCCATGTTAACACACCTCTCCATGTCCCCTACACACAGCCACATACCCGATGCCAACTTGTTTTGTCAGGGTGGCAATTTTGGAGCTCTGACTGTAGGTCACCTGATAAGCCCGCTCAAATGTCCTCAGGATTTCCAGAAGGCATCTAGAAGAAAATTCATTAGCTCCCAGAGAGGGTCTGGTTCTTCCCACAAAAGACCCAGGCACTCCTACCCTAGGGCACAATTGGAA